TTTTTTATATTAAGTTTTTAATATCTAACAGTGATTGGTAATTGCTGATATTTATTGCATGCTTATTGTGTACCAGGGAGATGTTGAGTTCTTTACAAACATGATCTCATTTAATTTTCATAACTGAAGTAGGCACTTCCATCCTCATTTTAAAACAAACTGAAACAACTTCTTCATACTTTCGTAGCTGAAAGATAGCAGAGCTACGATTCAAATCTTCAGTAATATCACTCCATGTCTCATGGTTATTCCCATATTTTACTATGACTGCTTATCACAGGTTTTGTTAAACTTTAATTTTTCCACAGCACTGGTTCTTAAAGCGTGGTCCCTGGGACAGCAGCATGAGTAGCACCTGGGCATTAGTTAGAAATGCAAATTCTTGGGCCCTACTATGGTCTGAATGTTTGCTCCCCACTCCCCCCTAATTCATATGTTGAAATACTAACCTCCAAAAGTATGGTATTAGGAGGTAGGGCCTTTGGGAGATGGTTAGGTCATGAAGTGGAGCCCTCACGAATGAGATTAGTGTTCTTATAAAAGACATCCCACAGAGCTCCCTAGCCACTTCCACCATGTGAAGACATAGTGAGAAGGTATAAGAACCAGGCAGAGGGCCATCACCAAAATGCAACTATACTGGCCCCTTGATCTTGGACTTCTTAGCCTCCAGAACTGTGAGCAATAAATTTGTTTTTTATAAGCTACTCACTCTGTGGTATTTTGTTACAGGAGCCTGAATGGACTGAAACAGGTCCTACCCTAGACCTACTGAATCAGACAATGTTGGAGTGAGGCTGAAAATTTTACCTGTATTTTTAACAAGCCCTCCAGGTGTTTCAAATTCACACTCAAGTTTGAGAACCATTGCTCTGTGGTGTCCAGCTTAGAGCTACACCTTGGTGCCTAGGAAATGTTGATATGATGAATGATGAACGACTGACCACGAGAACATTGTCTTTCCAGGCTTCTTGATGTCTCCAGGCAAGATCTTCCTCCAGATTCCACCTTTCCTCTCCCCGGTAGTTCTGCTTGAGTTCACAGATGTCCACCAGGCTTTAGGATCCTGAGAGAATAAAGGATGAAACCCAGCATGACCTTGCCCGCTAATTGGACCTCTCCCCAGAAATCCCTGGCCCTGGCTCCAGAGGAACATGGCAGCTCATGTGAGGTGAGAAGAAGCCCCTGGGGATGGGAATTCATCCCAAGTGTAGATATCTCTTATCTGACCCCAGAGCCTGGGCAGAGGCAGATGGGCCACAGGAAGCAGCCAGACTCTCCTACTGCCCCTGAAACAAATCTTGATCTTTTTGCCAAGAATGTGCAACACATGGGAACTGTCTCCACATCTAGAGACAAATTGTGTGACAGTAGAGAGGTGGAATGTCAAGGAAAAACTGCTTCTCTCTACATAAATATTTCTCGATTTATTTATTTATTTATTTTTTTAAATTTCTGTTTTTCAGATGTTGGTTCTCCATTTTTTTTTCCTCTACTATTTTCTTTTTTTTTAAAGATTTTTTTTTTTTTATTGGGGAATTGGGGGAAGGGGAACAGACAAATCGCTGTCGTTCTGTTCTTCAGTCTAGTTGTGCAGGACATTGCCCCACCGGCCCAAGTTGGCACCATCATTGCGCTCTTCCCGGGCGAGGCAGATCAGTCGCTGGCCTCTGGACGGACACTCACTGCAGCCGCTGGCCGCTCATGCTGGCTGCTGGCTACACACGGTAGCCCATGGCAACCCACTGCAACAGGGGCCGCAGCCTACGCCATCGCCGGCGACTCACGGCAGCCCAG